TTAGGCTTGCTCTCAGTAAATACATACACACACACAAAAAAGTGATAGGCAGTTTTATTAGTGAAATATGGAGCAAAAACTGTAGACATGAGAACAAAAGTCATGAGCTACAGGAAGTTTTTGGCAATCTGATGAACAGCTTCTCCCTCTGCCCATGAATCTGTCTGTCTGTGTATCCATCCAACTTTCTGTCCGTCTTCCCTTCAGATAAATACTTTATGACCTGTTTGTTCAGCTGTCTTCACTGGTCATCACATTTACAGCTTACCTTTACTACCGGTTTTTACACCCAGTAGGGGATGCTTAGATACACAAAATCACTCCCACTTACTCTGTCCATGCTAAAGGGGGACACACACACACAGAAGAACAGAGACCAAGACAGAGACAGAGAGAGGGAAAAGGAGGTGGCAGAAGAGATGGAGACATGTTGGACGAAGAAAACCTTCATTTCCTAAACATCCTACAGCGGTTTCTCTTCCATCACACAGTCAGACCACACAGCAACCCTGCCCTGACACACAAAGAGAGCCGTGTGTGCACCCGCATTTTCATACCACCTCAGGACATTGTTGTAATGCTAGTCAAATCCAAGCCTCGCCCTGTCAAACACATCCCATTCTCTCTAATAGGGAACTATGTAAACCGATGCAAAGGCCTCTCTACAGTCTGTGCTATTCAAAGCTATCAATGTGGGCTGTTGATAAGGAAATGCAAAGTGGGTCACCTTTAACTCCAGGCTCCTTGTGTAAACAGTGCGGGGAGCTGCTTGGGACTCTCCTAATCACTCTCTAAACAGAGCCAGGTGCTGTTGCCACAGACAAACTGTCACCAACACTCTGCTCAACACAGCTGCTGTCTAGCCCCCAGACACTCGCAGCACTGCAGGCTACCGCAGCATGACAAACAGCACAACGACACCTGAAAACATGCCAACCTTGTATAGGCGCCATTGCAGCATAAAGGTTCAACAACTTTTAAATGGCAGATCACAGGCGAGAAATGTTGTTCCTGAGAGCAAAATTTGCATAAATAATCTTACACTCTTATCATGTGCTGAAACATCAGACACATGTAAGTCTGACATAGGAGGATAAATCCACCCAAAGTCAGCCAACTCAGTTTTTTTTTAATCACTTCTGCCAAGGAGGTTATGTTTGTTCCTGTTACTTAGTTTGTCTGTCTGTTGATATGGCCTCATAAAAACTTCCTGTTAATGAAATTTGGTACACAGATAAAGAACACGTTGCATTTTAGATAAATGTAGCATTTTTGCCACTGGACAATTTTTAGTTTTTTTGGTATTACTATGACACTCTCACAGATCAAAACGATTCTGAATCCTCAAGAAAAGTTTGCACATAGACAATCAGATTGAGAAGTGGCTGATGGTATGCCACTAGTGGTGGAGCTGGAACCGGCACATACTGTTTCCCAATAGCAGCTGCCGCTTGAAAGTGTTGGCCATTGGCAGAAATGCTTATGTTTTTCCTGTCTGTTCCGTTGTCGGGATATGTGCGATGTTTTTGACATGAGTAATTCTTTTATTCTGATTCTGACTCTGGGCTAATATTGCCTTTGTAAGCCTAGCCACTGTAGGCGGTCTGACTAATCAATAACAGGAATGTACAATTTGCAGCTAACCAACCAAATAATCCATATTTATTTTTTTGGCATGTTGAATTTATCAGTAGAACGCGATCACACATGACATCATATAAAATTCCATGTTGTGGAGCATTAACTAGGCATATGAATGGCACCTTATTTATCATTCACCATAAATCCTTTGAATGAGTAACAGGTAGCATTGTAGCATAAACCATAGACATGATTGGCATAGATATTGGGGTATTTCCTCACTGTGATCCATCTTTGGATAGTCTGAAAATACTAAAATGACAAAGTGGATGTCTGCCATGTGGGTGGAACAAACTGAACCACAAAGAGAAGTTGTGTTATGGTTCACAGAAAGCATAAAATGTACTACTTCTATTTACCATACAGTATACAGTGGTGTCTGAGCCACGGTGTGTGAACCAACAAAATTATGGAAATGCTGGCCTTTTCTGGTGCAGTTCTTGTTGCGTCATGAGTCAGCAAATGGTACATAAATGTAAGTATCTGGACTGTGCATCTGTAGCTTGCACATGTGCATGAACACAAAATGCATGAGCCAAGTATTACACATGTTGAGCACTCGCCAGTTCTTGAAAATAACTTCCATTACTTTGATATATTTTTTCATGTAACTTGCATGTCGTTTTAATTTTAGTCAGCATCTATGCCATGTCCTTTGGTAGCTACCATCTTTAGTAGCAATGGCTGATCCTAATCTAGCAGCTCCCTGACATGCTCACTGTTCTTCCTCACAGATTTGAAATGTTATTAATCATTACAATGGGATATTTGGCTACTCCTGTTCAGGGAAGATTTGAAATTGTAAAAGTAATGGAAATTCTCTTGCATGGAATCAATCTAAGAGATCCAAGACATTAAAATAAAACCTCCAACAGCGATAGCTGTGATATCACTACTGGGGGATCTATTTCAAGCACACTATTTGTAATCCCGGTGAAAAAGCAGGGGGGCATAATAAAAATTAAACCCAAGATTAGAAGCTGCTTTCAGTTTCAGATAGACTGAAAAGGTTTTGTATGATGAAGAAAAAAAAAACAAAAAAAAAACAAAACGTGGGACAACAATTCTGTTCTATTAAAGTTTTCTGAGGCTGTAAAAAAAAATTACATCAGTATGATATTTGTAAACACTGGAGTAAAACAGGTCAAAATTTGAATTCTGATTGGTTAGGGAATATATAAAGCTGAGAGACAGCTGTCAGAGATTATCCTGTGACAGCAGCCTATGATAGGGTGTGTTTGAGTATGTGTTCGTATGGGGGTTTTCCTATATCAAAGTAATACTGTAGTGTAGCGGTGACATTGGCTGCCGTCAGTGTTAAAGGTGATAGGTCAAGCCTTACTTTGACCTCAAATGAAGATAAACCACAAATAGAAAGCACTCAGATAGTGCACATAACCATCAAGGCTTAATCTGGATCAAGATCATCATCAAAATACAAATAGTGATTGACAACCATAGGATACATGTCCCATGTGTCAGTTTTTGTTTTTCATTCATTAAGCTCATTTGTGCATAAAAAACAGCAAAATGTCTAAAATTACCTATTCATAAATGCTAAATCCTTTAACAAATTCCCGTATCCACACCAGAACTAATCACTTGTTTCCAGGGAATTTTTTTCCATTGAAATTTCTAGAATGTTTTGGCACCTGGCACCTTACAAACAGACACTTGGCCACATAGCCTCCTTAGTGAGATATTATTCTAACAACTAGACATACAACTGAAATTGATATTTTTGATATGTTAAAATAAACAACTATCAAAAAATGTTAATGAAAATATCAAAATTTTGTTGTTGTTGTTATTTACCAGTAAAAGGTGAAACTTAAACTCTACATATGGTGTCAGTGACAAGTGAAATAGAACAATGATATATCCCATTGTTTTCCATCTTTCCTGTCAACTGATGAAAAAAGTGTTCCCTCATTAACTTTGAATGTCCCCATAGTGTATTTTTCTGTTCCGGGCCCTGCTGTGAGCCATTTCTGGGTCTTGTGTGAGAAACCAGGCTGTAATCTATGTAAACTGCAGTAAGAAATAATGCATTATACACCACAGTTATGCTAAAAAATGACATCACCCAGCTATGTTACATGCAGACAAGCTCCCATGTAATGAATGACCAATCCAGCACCAGTCAGTAGCTGTTAAAAGACACCAGTAGACAGTCTCACTATAAAAACCAGGAGGCTCTAATTCCCTGCTCTTGCAGTTATGGCTAACCTTATCAGCAGCAGCTAAAACACACAACAAGGCTCCTTCTGGCTACAGATAAACTCAACCCGCAGCACAGTGTGTTCAGTAAAGCCTGTTGCTTCATCGCTGTGTTTGTAGACCGTGTTTTAAACCCGAGAGGTGTGTGATGAGCGTGATGAGTATTGCGTGTGTGTGCGTGTTCCCAAGCACAAGCAAGCAGCTGCTATACTCGCCTGCAGTTCAAGAGAAGTGAAGGAGCGCGTGGGAAGTGATTCAACACGGTCCACCTGCCACACGCACGCGTACACACACACACGCACAGGGTCAAATCCTTCACCAGAGAGCACCAAATGGTCAACATGTGTCACTCTCGCAGTCAGTCACATTTATACTGAGAAAAAGCCCCTTTCCTACTCTAAAGGAGTAGCCCAGACCAGACGCTCTCCCAATAAATTTAATGGAGCCAGCATGACTGGAGACTGCGAACTAGCAACCAAGTAAAGACAATAATACAAATTTACAAAGGGGACCTACAGTGAACGTAAACGGCTTACGCAGAAACCCCGAGGGCTGTGCTTTACATAATAAACACAACAGTGCACCGGTAACAATGTTACAAGAAGTTAGTTTTAGGGGGTGGGGGTCGCCCGCTATTCCTTTCAGTCCTTCGGGCTAATCTGCATTTTGAAACATGATTGTCTGAAAATCCTTCACAAAATGACACATTAATACTGAATGATTAAAAAATAAAGATTAAATCACCACCTGAACGCGCCGGAGTACCTCTTTCTGTTGTACTGACTCTTTTTTTGTCTTTCTTGTTTCTCTTTCTCACTCACACTCACACACACACACACACTCTCACACACACACACACACACACACACACACTCTCTCACACACACACACACACACACACACACACACACACACACACACACACACACACACACACACACACAAAACCTCGCGCGCACACCCGCGTGCATACGCAAGGGCTAGGCACCCGACCTTCGAAAAAAAAGAAAAGAACTAGCACTCGTTTCCTCGACATCGTAATGACTTCCTCAACAAAACCCTCGCTGTATGCTCGCTCGTTTGCACAAACAACCTCCGGGTTTGAAAACATAACTACAGATTTACACACAGTCACTCACCGCAAACAAGTATGGGCTATTCCAGTGTTCATAAATTTGTAAATTTCTCCCTCCGTTAGCGGCGAAAGCGCGGATCCATCCCTCCGTCGAGAACAGAGACTCGGCACTTTTGTTGTCACGCAGGAAGCTCCGACGCCTAGCGAGGCCACAGGGACGGAGCAGAGCAGAGCAGAGCAGAGCGCCGGGGAGAGGAGAAGAGAGGCGGCCGAGCCGCTGGGAGCCGGGAGGTGGGGCTTCCTCTCCGGCGGGGGCCGGACAGACAGACAGAGACAAGCCGGAGGGGGCGGGGGGTTGAAGCACCTGCTCCCCCCCTCCCGTCACGCCTCCAGTCCACAGGGCTGACCCCACATTGTCCCCCAAATGGGATAAAGAATGTCCAATCCATCCCTGACCAGGATGGAGAGAGTCACTTCCTGTCCATTAAAAATGACTACAAATCTGCGACTACCATATACCAACAAGTTCAATTTGACAAAATAAATAGCCAATTATCTTTCATATTCATTAACACTATAATTAATTAAATAGAACACTTGTATTTATGATTTTGCAGACAACACTGCCTAATTATTGTGGTTTGTTTTATTTATCTTTAAATAGCTTATTTATGTTAGCCTGTTTTTAAAAAACACATGGATTGTTCTTTTCATGCAATGCCCAACAAAAGCATATTTGAGATTAACTCAATGATCTGTGGTCAATGAGGATGATTCAGTTATGATATTAATGAATTAATTGGTCAGCCACAACATTAAAAGGAGTTACCAGTTTTATTGTTTTGGCTGAACATTATAGATGTAATATGATTTAATGAGAAATATCTTAAATCTGGATGAATTTTAAGCTTTAATCATGGTTTCCAATAACCAACAGATATCAAAGAATGATACACTGATGTTTTGTTAGTTACTGATATGTATGACAGTATAGGTTCATGAAAAGGAGAGTAATTCCACCAAGTGTCCACAAGGGGACAGCCACCTACCAAAAGCACAGAGGAGACTCAGCTGACAACCTCTACCCCTGCCTGGCTTATCAATGGTTTTACTGTGGATTAGATACCAGCGACTGCACAGGCTGTAAAATCAAAGCCGCACTTGTAAGCAGTAAAGACAGGGTGTTCTTCCAAAGCCAAGGATGAAAATAAGGATTAAGCAGGTGATGGCTGGGGAGGAAGTGGGATGAGGTCTTTTTCACATTGTGCTGTCAATTGCTAATTGCTGTGATGCACTGGATCAAATGCAAGTCTAATTACGTATTGTGTGTCTCCTGCCACAGCCCACTTCTCGATGCTAACAGAAGGCACAGCAGAGCAGAGAAAAGAAACGCTACCCAACACACGCAGCATCCCCCTCTGGGCAGCATGACCCTCTTTCTTGTATGTGAGTGAATGTACTCTGTGTGTGTGTGTGTGTGTGTGTGTGTGGTAATGTTTGTGTGTCTTGTCTTTCATCCATGTGATAGTGTATCCCTCACCTCTACTTGACCTGCGATAGAGAGCGAGAGAGAGCAAGTAGACAAGGTATCCTGACTAACGATGCAGCGCCGAGACCTCAGCCTTTGATCTGCCTGCTGTCTGTACACATGCTGCTCCCTACCCCACACCCCCACCCACACCCCGACACCAGATCTCTAGACACTGAAGGAGCCCCCTTCTGTTAAATTAGTCAAATAATCAGTCATTAGAGTATTAAAATGTCTAGTTGACTTGGAAATTTTTAGTCAATTAGTAATTTTATGGTCTATTTTATCACTAATCACTAATGAGTTATAAGTCTTTAGTCATTTCTGGTGATTAGTCATTGCTATTAGGGATAAGTCATTACTGATGATAGTCACATCTCTAGCATCACAATAATATTCACAAATATGTTCTTTAATAAGCACCAGATCACTCAGCGTGAATGCATTTATCTGTGGAGGGACAGGAATACTGGAAAAAAAAGAACATTTTTATTTTTCAATTAAATCAACTTATGAATTTGTCAAAGACAACGCTGTGACTATTAGTTGCTTAATATTTTTTTGAGACAAGAGCAGGCCTACTACACACACACAAACAAGGTAAAAACATGCTAAAAATACATGAACAACAATTGCATAAACACGTATGCTGCTCTCACCTTGCTTACTCATTGTCACCTTTCTCATCCATTGTAAAAAAAAGATTCAGCTTTTAGCTCACAATGTAATTAAAATACGACCTAAAGAGTCTGAGAACAGCTTTTAAATGGTTGCCCCATTTAGAGTTATTAAACATTCATGTTTTCGTCAACAGTTTCTGACGTACACACATCCTTTCAAAAATACACATTTGCACTGTGTATCTCCCACAATGAGCCTTCGTCCAATTACTATTCCTCCTCTCAGCCACAGGTGCACTACTGTACAACTAAGGACGTCTGCAAGATATTCCTCTGCTCCTCCTCATGTCCTCTCTCCATCCCTTCTTTTTCACCTCCAGCTTCTTCCTTTGATGCTAAACGCCCCCCCCCCCCATTTCCACCATCCCTCATTGATTTGACTACTTGCCATTTCACATTCTTGCTCCTAACATCCTCCTCTTCCACCTCCTCCTTATCCCTGCAGCCTTTACCTCCCTATGCACCACCTCTCTCTTCAGCCCCTCATTTCTCTCTCTCTCTCCCCCCTCTCTCTCTCAGCAGCGGACCTGGCCTTAGGCATCGTTAGCTTAATTTAATAAAGGGGCTTAAGCTTTTGAGAGGCTTTTGAAGGATCTGACTGCTGTTACATTCATTACAATCTATCAGCCACAAGAGACACAGCCTTGTTGCATGGCTGAGACAGGGAGTGAGTGTGTATATATGTGTGTGTGTGTATTGGGGTGGTTGTAATAAAAGTGGTTGTAATTATTAGAGCGATGATGGAATCCCACAACGTGTAAAGTCACAACTCACTCCTGCTCTACCTAGTAACCTCCTGTGTAGCCCAGAGCTGGTTGTACAGTGTGTGTCTATATTGTACATACTGTATATGTGTCAGCAGACACATGTTGTGCATGCCTGTATGCATATTGGTGGTGGAGAGGAGCGTCTGGCAGATGAATTGCCTGGCACTGTGAAAGCATGCACGCTTTCCTCCCCCTCGGCATCTAAAAAGAATGGCTCATTCACCTCCTTTTTGAACTCCCTCACTCCTCTCAAAGACAAACGGCACAAACTCCCCCCACCCCCTGCCTCGCCTCCATTATGTGGACGACAAGTGGCAGCTCTTTGAGCCTTCGCCATAGGGAGACACACTCAGAGGATGGGTTAGAAAAGATCTCAGACCCCTTTTATTCTAACCCAGTATCTTAGGCTTTGACTCCTACCTCCACATCCCCACGGCACCTCAGCAGCAACCAGCAAGTGGGCACAAAAAATGCAGAAGAAAACCAATAGGCTTTGCATATGTCCGCGCATGTACAAGTATATGTGCATATGTGCGTGACTGAGTCAGGGCTGGAGGGCAAATGCTATACCTCTTGGGTGAGTGTTCCACATTCCTCCCATGCAGATATTAAATTAAGGCGATAGAAGTAATTAACATGCAGATCAGATGCCACACAGAAGACGAGAAGAGGGGCTAAGCAAAGTGACAGTTAAAGCAAGAAAGAGAGAGAGCACGAGGGATGGAGTGAGAACAGGAAGGAATAGCGTGGAAGAGTGATGCCCTGCACTGTTATTTACTTCACTGACTGACCTGCTGTCATCACGGTGTTAGCACACAGCTGTGTACTACTATCCTACACATATGTATGCTGGTGTCAGTATACAAACAGGAAGAATGCCTACAGCTACAACTTATATGATTGTATGATCATTTTCAATTAAACTAAGTCATTTTCTTGATTAATTGATTAATTGTTTGGTCAAAAAATAACTTTAAAAAATAGCAAAAAAGTCAACAATTATTTTTCTGTAAATTAATTAATCGACCAGTCATCCCTGCTCTTACACAATCTAGTAGTAAACTAAACTAAAATTTGACCATTCTGTAACCCTAACCCTAAACCATGGCACAAATTTACGATCTAATGCAATGTAATACATGTCCCTACAACAAATCTTATCTTATGTTGGATAGGTGTACCTCATTTTTAGAGGTAAACATGCAATTCTCAACAAAATCTAGAGGTGAGACCAAACAAAACACCAAAACACATCAGCCCATAATTTTACAAAATATCAGTCTTGAAACAAAGACAGACCTAATAGCCATTCTCACGGGGTTCTCCTATGCAGCATTTTTCAAATGAAAAAAAAACAAAAAAGAAACAGTAAATATATTCTGTAACCATGCAGAAATCGAATATCGAATAATTCATTCACAACATATTTGCATTAAACAATACAACCACCACCTGAAAATGTCAAACTAATATATACTCCAATTAGTAACAGAGATGAAGCAGTTTGTTGCTTGCTTGACGCTTTAACCCAGACCCCAGCGTCACAGCTGAACACCACCACACACCTTCTGACTGACAGCCACACAGGACCAATCACAAGACACTTATGTATCCTTCAGCCAATTAGAAATGCAGGGGGATGGGTTGTCTTTAGGCCCGATTGCGCTAGAAATAGACTTTGAGGAGATTAGATGAGCGTTGCACAAAAATCTCTTTCATATTTACTTTACATTGCTGTAAATATGCTGCTTATCCCCCTCTCTCCTTATTTATGTACATGCAGCACCATACAGTTTAGCTTGAAACGCATGCTGTAAAAACTGAGCAAAGGCCACAGAAAAAAAGAGGAAAATAATAAAACCAAGGAATAAAAAGAGATGTGTGGAAGCATCACGGGTTAGTGCAAGGAGTAGGAAGGAGGTTTGTGGACTGAGCATGCTTGGCTGTGTTCCCTCCTCGCTATCCTCCTATTATCTGGGTGTCTGTGTAAGTGTGTGTGAGCAACAGGGGAGTGAGGTGAGGCCTATTAACAGACGTAGTGGTAATAGGCAGGGGGAACCAGGATGTGTCTGAGCCACTGACCTGCCCATTAGCTCTCTCCACTCCGCTAAGCCCTCACATCGATCACCCAGCCACACATCATTGATCTGGAAAACCAGGCACGAGCGCACTACTTAGACATACCCTCCGTCTCTCACGCCTCTTTGTGTTACTGTGTACGTGTGAGAGATGCGTGTGCATGTGTGTGTGTGTATGTGTGTGTGCATGTGCGTGTGTGTGTGTGCGTGGGTATGGGAGGGGGATGGTAAA